ACGCTGGGTCTCGCAGTGGGTTTTGCATCCCACACCACGCAGCCGTACCGTCACTTGGGGTTTTCCTCTTTCCAGAAAATGCCCCCATGAGCATTTTACACCCCGAGCGGGACCAGCAGCAGCAGCAGCAGCATTTTCCGGCCCACTGTCGTTCCTGGAATTGTTCCTCCGGGTTTCATTTTCGTGTCTGAGCAGCCGCCGCTGCTGTACCACAGGAAGGCGGAAGCCACGCAGCCCCACACCGGGGCCCTATGGCCCTCCCCAAAAGTAGCTCTTTCCAGAGGCCGGGAGCCACGACACCCTGAGGTTTGGGACGACGAGCTGCTCTTGCACCCTGGGGGGCCCTCGCTGCCGGCAGCAGGTTTTTGGCCAGCGGGGAACCAGCAGCTGTTGGGATGGTGGGGTTTGGGTTTCAGGGCTGGCAGGGGCAGATGGCAGAGGCACGGGAAGGGGTCCCGTCCCACAGATGTATTTCAGAAAGGGAGGGGTACAGCCAATGGGGGCTTCAGGCAGCTGCTCCTCACGTGAGGGATAGGAGTGGTAGGAAGGAGCTCCCCCTTGTCATTGCTCTTGTCCAGACCCTGTTGGTCATCCCTTGTGGGAAGGGTCAGCCTCTGACCCCTGCCCACAGAGACCCTGACCCTCCTTCTCCCCGCAGGCAGGGCCGCTCCGGGCAGCGCCAGCAGGGCAGAGGATGCCGGGTGGCTAGCCCAGGAGTCCTCCCTGACGGGCAGGAGGGACCTGTGTGTCTCCTTCTCATGGAGATCCGACGCACTTTGCCCCAGGATTTCTGGGAGCTGCTGCACTGCCTGAAGATGAGGAGCAAGTACGCCATCCTGCTGGTCTTTGTCATTGGCCTTGTCATCATCGAGAAGGAGAACAACTTCATCTCCAGGTAGGGAGTGGGTACCTAAGCCACCCCAAGCTTTTAACCCCTTCTCTCCTCCACATCCCAAACTTCTGCACTGCAGGAGCCCCCCGAACCCCGGGGTGGTCCCGCTCCCCTCCAGGCTGGGCTGGGTCTTCCCACAGGGTGTCAGACAAGCTGAAGCAGTCCCCGCAGGCGCTGGCAGAGGCCAACGGCACGGACGCCAGCCCAGCATCGGCCGAGAATGGCTCGCTGGCCTCACTGCAAGAGCTGGACTCTGCCTTCTCCCGGCTGAGAGCCCACCTGCGCAATGTCACCCTGCAGCTGGCAGGTGATGAGCACCCCGGGCCACGGCGGCATGTCCTGCTGATGGCCACCACCCGCACCGGCTCCTCCTTTGTAGGGGAGTTCTTCAACCAGCAAGGCAGCATCTTCTACCTCTTCGAGCCCCTCTGGCACATCGAGAGGACGGTGACCTTCGAGCCAGGGGGAGCCAACGCCGTGGGCTCGGCCCTGGTCTACCGAGATGTCCTCAAGCAGCTCCTCCTCTGTGACCTCTACATCTTGGAGAGCTTCATCTCACCGGCACCTGAGGGCCACCTGACACCCTTCATGTTTCGGCGAAGCTCGAGCCGCTCGCTCTGCGAGGAGCCCGTCTGCACGCCCAGCACCAAAAAGGTCTTTGAGAAGTATCACTGCAAGAACCGCCACTGCGGCCCCCTCAACATCACCCTGGCCGCCGAGGCATGCCGGCGCAAGCAGCACGTGGCCCTGAAGACAGTGCGCATCCGGCAGCTGGAGTTCCTGCAGCCGCTGGTGGAGGACCCTCGGCTGGATGTGCGCATCATCCAGCTGGTGCGGGACCCCCGGGCCGTCCTGGCCTCCCGCATGGTGGCCTTCTCTGGCAAGTACGAGACCTGGAAGAAGTGGGCATCTGAAGGAGAGACTCCCCTCCGTGAGGAGGAGGTGCAGCGGCTGCGGGGGAACTGCGAGAGCATCCGTCTGTCGGCCGAGCTGGGGCTGCGGCGGCCGGGCTGGCTGCGGGGTCGTTACATGCTGGTACGGTACGAGGACGTGGCGCGGGCGCCCCTGCAGAAGGCAGAGGAGATGTACCGCTTCGCCGGGCTCCCCCTCACCCCTCAGGTAGAGGAATGGATTGGCAAAAACACGCAGGCACCGCGTGATGGCAGCGGCGTCTACTCCACCCGCAAAAACTCCTCCGAGCAGTTCGAGAAGTGGCGGGT